TCTCTCTCTCCCATCCTGCTGGGTTCTCTCTCTCTCTCTCTCTCTTTTTTCTCTCTCCCACCTCTCTGGGTTCTCTCTCCCATCCTGTTGGGTTCTCTCTCCCCACTGATGGATTTTCTCTCTCCATTCTGTGTTCTCTCTCTCACATCCTGCTGGGTTCTCTCTCCCCACTGATGGATTTTCTTTCTCCCTGACCCCTCTGGGTTCTCTCTCTCACATCCTGCTGGGTTTTCTCCCACCCCTCTGAGTTCTCTCTCTCTCCCTGACCCTCTGGCTTCTCCCTCTCCCACTGCTCTGGGTTTTCTCCCCCCTGACGCGTCCTCTCCCCGCTGCTTTTCCCAGTCCAAGGAATCCTCGTCGGTGCTGAGCTGTGACATCTCTGCGGATGACAAGTACATCGTCACGGGCTCTGGGGACAAGAAGGCCACGGTCTACGAGGTCATCTACTGAGCCTGGCACTTCCAGCAGCATGGGGAACACCCGGGAATGCCCAGGAACACCCCGGGAACACCCGGGAATGCCCAGGAACACCCCAGGAACACCCGGGAATGCCCAGGAACACCCGGGAACGCCCGGCCCAGCTCCGCCCGCCACACTCGGATTTATTTGGAGATCTGCAACTCTGGCACACATGGAAGCCCTAAACGGATTTTTATTTGGTTTTAAGCTTTTGGGGTTCCTTTTGAATTTTTTTTTTTTTGGTTTTCCGGTTCTTTCCGTCTGGCTTTGGTGGCACTATAAAGGACTCCTTTTTTTATTGGGATTTTTTTTTTTTTTTTTTTTTTTTTTTTTTTTTTTTTTCTTTTTTTTTTTTTTTTTTTTTTTTTTTTTTTTTTGTGCATCCCGCATAAGACTTGTGAAAAATGTAAATACTGGACTAGGAAATAGCGTGGGAAGGGGGGACCCTCCCAGTACACTTAGTTGTGTATTTTTGTCTGCTGTAATTGTATTCCACTGATGGTTTTGGTGGTGGCAATTTTATTCTGGGGGTTTTTTTGGTTGGTTTTTTTTTTTTTT